TTAAACAAGAATTTCAGCTTTATTATTGTCCTCATTCACTTGATCCAAGAGCACAAGATGAAGACACTTGGCATGATCCTAAGCTACTTCTCTAGTTACCCTATTTTTCCTTGTATAAAAATCAGTTCTCTCTCTTTGTAGATGTAAGAAAACTGCGCAGCATTATTCATTGAAATACACAGATCCATTATTATGAAAAATGAATGTTCAATCTTTAGTGATCTATCTGCATGATTATATGAGTTTTTCTATCAACACACACTAAATGGCGATAAAGCAAACCTAGTAATGAGCTCTAGCTTTAAAATACAAGCATTTGGAGTTTTGAAAGTATGATGAAAAGTGTTAACTTACCGTAAATTGAAAAAAAAAAAAAAAAAAAAAATCAATCACAGAAGCTCAAGGACAAGAGCAGAAGCACCGCCTCCTCCATTGCAAACACCACCAACACCGTACTTCCCGTTCTTATGCTTCAATACCTAAAGGCAGCCACAAATTCAAGAATATCATAATCGTGTTGGAAAATGGTTATGAACAAACTATCAAATTTTAAAAAACTCAAAATCGAAACATACACCAAGAAGTGTGACCAAAATGCGAGCCCCACTGCAACCAAGAGGATGCCCAAGTGATACGGCTCCACCATGTACGTTCACTTTTTCCTGCAAAATACACATTTTTTAAAAAGAAAAAAATTAAGGGAAACAAAAAAAAAGAAAATAAAAAGATGGAGTTAAGAACTCACTGTGCTAAGACCCAATAGCTTCTGATTCGCCAGAGCCACGACCTGCAAGAGATTACATTTTTCATAATAAACTACAAAGCTTGGAATTCGGTAAGACATAATTCTTGCTTAAAGAACATACTGCAAAGGCTTCATTGATCTCATAATAGTCGATTTTGGATGCTTCTAAGCCAGCATTTGAGATTGCTTTTGGGATTGCAAGTGCCGGGGCAGTTGTGAATAAGTTCGGTTCCTGCTCAGCATTTTCAAATACAACAGCCATGAAGAAATCGAAAAGAAAAAAATGCAGAAATGGGAAGAAGTCAATTTTTTCTTTTAAAAAGAAACACAGAGAGAGAGAGAGAGAGAGAGACTAATAAATATTCACTTACTTGAGCAGAATCAGCATAACCAGAGATTTTAGCAATGACTTCAAGCCCAAGCTGCAGAGCCTTTTCTCCACTTACTAATACGAGCGCAGCAGCTCCATCACTGAAAAGGCGGGTCAATTCTACCTGTCAACAACTCTTATAATATTTTTACCATTTAAAGTATTATCATAAATACAAAAGAGTAAACTTTTTTACCTTATGCTAGACGCGTTTCCAGCTGTTACAGTACCACCAGTTTCCTTGAAACTCGGTCTCAGCTTCCTCAATTTTGCAGCATCAAACTGACGAGAAAGAACGATTCTATTCAGTGGAAAAAAAAAAAAAAAAAAGAAAAAACCGAGCAGATGGGTAAATTCAAGATTACCCTTGCATGGAGCACAAATTTCTGCTAGTGAACAAAAACTTTGAAAGGTATCATAATAGCCTAAAATTACATGAAATCATGCATACACGTTCAGAATGGGAGATTTTTTTTTTTTTCAAGAATTATGACTTTTCCTAGATAATTTGATTGAAACAAGCTGAAATGTTGATACATACAAACCGAGGAAAAATTTGGCGATTTTCACCTTTCCGAGACCTTCATCTTTAGCAACAATCGTGGATGGTCTTCCTCTACCTCCAGATACCTCAACCTGCAGGCACAAAAATTATATATTTATAATGCAGTTAAAGATGAACTATAATAAGTTCGGAAGACAAAAGTGTTAGTTATATCTTACGGGCACAATCTCCCATGCAAAAGCATCGGCATCTTGAGCTGCAATTCCACGCTCAAAGCTCTGGACTGCATAATTATCCTATACAGATAATATAAAACAGCATAAACGTTGAAAGCCAACTGTTATACGCAGCAATTTTTAGTTTAAAAAAAAAAATGTCGAATGTTTTTTCAGTTATTTACTTGCTGCTCTCTTGTAATACTGTGCTGCTCAGCACATAACTCAGCACAAACTCCCATGGCAACGTCACTATACACATCCCACAACCCATCTTTGAACATTCCATCAACAACAGAATCATGTCCAAGTCGAGATCCTTTTCTGAAAATAAGGGTACAAAACACATAACTTAATTCAACTAGATGGAAAAATAAAATCAAATATTCCATAAACGTTAATAACTAATAAAAATTACCTTGCCTCAGCCAAGTACTTTGGGACATTCGACATGCTTTCCATGCCACCAGCAACAACAACATCATTTATGCCTAGCTGAATACTCTGTGCCGCTAGCATAGTTGCTGATCAAGGTGAAAAAAAAAAAAGGGTAATAAAACCCGCGCCAAATGCTTTTAAAATTATGATTAATAATCTTGTTAAAATTAAACCTTTCATTCCAGAGGCGCAAACTTTGTTGACAGTTGTGCAGATAACCGTATTAGGAATACCGGCGCCTAAAGCTGCCTGTCTAGCTGGAGCTTGTCCTAAATTAGCACTCAGTACATTACCAAAGATAACTTCTTGCACAAGTGATGGATCCATATTTGCTCTTTTCAGTGCACCTTGCATAACATGAATAATAATTAAAATAAAGCAAAATGAAAATAAAATAAAAAGGACAAGACTTTCGAGTTTCGATTGACAGATCGTACTCTCTATAGCAAATGATCCAAGTTTGGTCGCCGGTAGTGATGAAAGAGAACCGAGAAATCCACCCATTGGTGTTCGAGCAATACCAACGATGCAGACATCTATAGTGAGTTACTATGTATTAGAGCAAGAAAATGTACACACACAAACACACGCACACAG